AAAACCTGCGGGGAGCTCTGCAAAAAACGCATCTTCGCACGGGCAGCCCGTGCGTTGGCCATTTTTCACTTTTAGAAAACCTAGTCGAAAGCGCACCGGCTGTCGGTGCGGGGGTGCGTTTTTCGTACAGCTCCCCCGCAAGTTCTTTTCGCCAGTGGAACGCTCTTTCCGGCAGATATTTCTAGCTAAAAGAATTGAGACTGACTACCACGACTGTTAGAAATTATTACAACAACTCCCAATCCATGCCCAAAAGAATTCGGCGCTCTAGATGCTTTGATTGCAGAATGACTTCAAATTTCACGTGTTCGTGCGTGAAGGGTAACGTGAAAGCTTCCTTTGCTTGCGGTTGCTCAAACACGGCCCTGAGTAGCGTCTAAAAACTTTCACACTCCAGCCGCTCTGGTTGCGGAGTTACGTCAAATTTCACGTGTGTGTACGAGAGACGTACATGAGACATGAAAGTGATGTGTAAGTCGTTCCTGTGTCGATCTGATCAAAGACCACTGTTGGTTATGCTCAGGAAGTTCCAATTCTCTGGCTGCTTCAATTCTGAAGTAAACAAAAGCGCATGCGTGAAATTTTCACGTGTTCGTACGTGAGATGCAGAAGGGCTGGACAACTCAATTTAGTTTCACGAGTACAATAGTAGGCAACAAGCAACACTACAAAATTGTAGCACTCTACAGCTTATTGGTTAGCTTAAATCTGGAGTTGGCATGATACCAATTTAGACTTTAATGTGTGCGTACGTGAGATCTAGGGATAAGTGAAGGCCGAATTTGAAATCTCTGGATTAAACTCGGCCAAGGAACACCTCTATGAAGTTCCAGCCTCCTAGCCTGCGCCGGTCTCAGAAACACTTTCCAGTCAAAAAAACTTTCACGCGCCCCTACATGAGAACCACGCAGACCAGAGCGCCTATTTTGTGGACACGGACCCGCATAAGTCGCCGAATTTTCAGTCTTCTGGCTTTCGTGGATTTCGACATGAAAACTCGTCACAGACGAACACATACATACATACATACACACACAACCCTTCAACAATATGCATTTTTGCATCACATTGATGCAAAAAACGCATACAAAGGATGTTTAGTAAAGAACAACAGAAACACATAAGTACCATAACAATATAAAAATTTCCGGCATTTGAAAAGTAATTACTTACTTGCTTCTCTGGTTGGGGTAGATTGATTTAGCGGATGTACCAAGATGCTTTTCTTTGATATGTCGATGAAGACGTGGAAGAGAAGGAAAAGGCCTAAACAGACACGTGTTACACGTGGAAATACCATCTCAAACATTTTCTTTTACCACACAGCAATAAAGTGATGCTCAGTAAACTCTGAAAAAGAAATTAAATGAATTCGCTTACTTTCCATCTTTCCTGTACTTCAAACATGAAGCCCATAAACATACAAACTGGTTCTCGCCATCAACTGCAAAACT